TCTTTCTCTCTTTCTCTTTCTCTTTCTCTTTCTCTTTCTCTCTCTCTCTCTCTCTCTCTCTCTCTCTCCTTTCTTTCTTCCTACTCTTAGCTCACTCTCCTCTTCCTCCTGGTTCATTTATTGGTGTCTATCTTTGAGTTCACTAATTCTCTTTTTCATCTGGACTGAATTCCTCATCTTACTGAATTCTTCAGCTCCAGCATATCTGTTGTTTCCTTTCTATAGTTTCAATATCTTTGGTAATGCACTCCTTTGGTTCCTGAGCTCATTGCTCTGCCCTTCTGTGCTTCTTGTACATCCTTGAGTTTCTTCATAACTGCAGTCTTGAATTCTCTGACTTGAATCACAGTTTTCCATGACTCTGAATTTGGTTTCTGAAGACTTTTCATTTTCTTTCTGTGCTTCCAAGTTATCTTGGTTGTTTGAAGCATTTGATGAATGTTTCTCTGTTGGTGCATTTGAGGTAGTGCTCTCTTTTCTTGTTTAAATATTTGTACTCTCAATAATTCAGCAGGATGATAGGTATTTCCTTTTGTTTTCCAGTAGATGCTGTTGCAGCCCAAGTTTTTGTTTTTTCCTCCCTTCACTAATTTGCGCCTCTGAGATCTCGTGTGGATTGGCATCACAGCAAATGCTGTACCCATTGGTGTGGTGGGTGTCTCACTGAGTCCAGCCTGCCTCCTTTATAGGCCCTCTCCATCACTGTGGTGGAGAACTGGTTTGTGAGCTCTCAGAGCTCCCTCCTTTTCCTGCAGTTTTTGGCTTTATAGGTCTATGCAAAGACATGTGGAGGAAAGGAGGCAAGTTCATAATGTCATGGCCCAACCTCCATCCATTTATGGCTTTCAGTTCTGCTGTTTTATTTACAGCTTTCTAGCCACTTTTGTCATGATGGAGATGTGGGAAGGGAGGTGAAAACAGCTTCTGTCTCTCTTACACTCCAGGTTGTACTGTGAGGACTGCAGCCCGACTCCTCTTCTGCACTCACTGGAGCCATGGTGGGTGCTCAACAGCATCTGCAACCACCTTCTTTGTCTGTCACTTTGTCCTCCCTCCCTACCCACTCCAATATGCCCACCTTCAGTTGTCCTAATGCATAGATCTTCCAGGCATGTTTGTGTGTTGAGCATGACATCCTTTGTTGAGTGAGTCTCACTCTGCCATGATTCTATTGTCAGGCTCCTAAATAGTTTTTCTTAAAAGAGTTGTCTTTTACCATGTAGAGGTTGTGTAATTTAGTGAACAGTAGCATTAGGCAGACATTAGGTGACCTGGTTACCAGTCCCAACGTGCAAATAATCAACTAGAGCTGAACAAATTGGCTGACCAGGAAATATTAATTTACTTTTCTGTAATGAAGAAATAGTAGCATTAACCAACTCCTGTTTTTCATCATAAAAGTCCCTTGTAAGTTATCAAACATTATATAAAACTAATGGACACATATTTTCTCTTTCAATGCCAAAAAAAATGCATTGCTGTTTCTAAAATGACTTAAGATTTTGTTTCACCTTATCTGGTAGAGGGAGTAGGAAGTTCTTTTTATATTAATTATTTAATTATGTGTGGTTTTTCTTTATTATAATTGCTTTCAGCTTGTTTTAGCTGAATGACGGGGCATCTAAGTGTGTTCAATAGTTTGAAATATTAGTAGGATGCAATTATACTCTACATGCATATTTATCAATACATTTCACAGGGATCTCAATATGAAGTATGCAGTGGATGCGACAATTTCACAACAGGCAACTTTATTTGTAGAATTTGTTCCAAAAATTAAAAATAAATAAATAAATGGAGCAGAGTCTCTATTATGTTAGTACACAAAATAAACCAACAACAACAAAAAATACATCAACGTTTACCATGGGATCATTTAAATGTATTTGCAAATGATCTGATTAGGGAAACGTGATTTACAACACGGGCAACTTCTTTAACAACCATGGACTGAAATGCACTGTACTGTAGGTCACCTAGACTAGTTAGCAAGAATGAGCAAAGTGTCAGGTCCCAGAGGCAACCCCCAAACACCTTCCTTAGATGGAGACTTTGGTAACTGTCTGTGGTAAAAATCACGCCAACTCCCGTTCTTCATCATGTTGGATGGGCATTTGTCCATTTTTCTCCCATGATGATGAGTCCATTTTAAATACTTCAGTTATTATGGAGACACTCCAAATCCACCGAACAGCAGACACTTCCATTCTGTGCAGCAAGACACACAAATTAGCCAGTTGAGACACAGGGTATAAATAAATTAGCAGGATATACTTTTGTATTCAAAATAAGCATCTACATTTTGAGACAAACTCCATGAATGCTTTGGAAAAATTTCTATGGAAAGAGCAGGAAGGAAGAATGTCTGAGCTCAAAGCATATTTGGGACTTTCCCCCTTGTTTCCAAATTATTCACTGGACTTATTCCTAATGAGATTGTTTGCAAAAACAATTTTCTGAAAGATAATAATTTACCATTAACAATGCTATCCAAAAGTACCTGAAGGGTTCCAGAAAGGTTGGCATATTAGGAAAAATAAACGAAAGAGCAGGAAGGAAGAATGTCTGAGCTCAAAGCATATTTGGGACTTTCCCCCTTGTTTCCAAATTATTCACTGGACTTATTCCTAATGAGATTGTTTGCAAAAACAATTTTCTGAAAGATAATAATTTACCATTAACAATGCTATCCAAAAGTACCTGAAGGGTTCCAGAAAGGTTGGCATATTAGGAAAAGTAGTCTCTCATGGTGACAATGAAAGGCAGAGTACATATTTAGGTATAAAAATGATTTTAAAAATCATTAAAATCAATTACATGTATTAATGTAAATATACCTTTACAACCCCTATTAGTAAATCTCAGACTTAATCTCATAGAAATAATAATCTATACAAATAAAAGGGTAATATGCTAATTAGAGCGGATTTCTTCGGGACGATCTTTCGGATGTCCATCCTGACATAGCTGGGCCTGGGTGAAGCTGCCCACCTGGGATCCTGGGCGCCAGTGCCTGAGGTGGCTGCAGCCCAGGAGAGGGAGAAAAGCCACCTGCCCATGGTCCCCTGCGGTTGCAGTTGGCCTGGGCAAAGCTGGCCCAGGTCCCAGGTGCCTGTGGCCGGCCAGAGGGAGGGAAGCCTGGGTCCTGGGTGCCTGCAGCCGGCCAGAGGAGAGAATCCTGGGTCCCAGGTGTGGGGCTGAGTCAGAGGCAGTTAGGGGTGATCAGGCCAGCAAGGGAGCAGTTAGGGGCAATCAGGCAGGCAGAGGTGGTTAGGGGTGATCAGGCAGGCAGTTAGGAACCAGCAGTCCTGGATTATGAGAGACATTCCCCAAGTAGTCCTGGATTGGAGAGGGTGCAGGCCAGGCTGAGGGACTCCCCCCACCCCACCCCATGCATGGATTTCGTGCACTGGGCCTCTAGTAAATAATAAATCTCCTGTCATTTTGTTTGCTGGGCCACAGGTACACATGGAACCGTGGCCCTTTGGCTACATAAAGGTTGATAGGGCTGTACCTTAAGATGATATTTTCTGGAAAAAAGGGAAAAAAATCCACATTTATAAGACCATAAAAAACAAGCTGGGAACCTTCCACTGGTGCTGAGGCAGGACTTGATAAAAGAAAATTGACTAGTATTGTTAATAGGCTTAATCATGGGAATTTTAAACAGATGTTTTGGCAGCAATTTGACACTGCCTCACCCCTCCTTCAGGTCACAGCTCTTCAAGAGCTTTGAAGGGAGGAAGGAATGAGTGTTTAATTTTAAAGACATAGGAGGATACCTCTTGGGACCTCCTCCAAAGAGAGAAAAACAATTAAATCCTGCAGCAGAGGGTCACGTCCCAGCATTAAGCACCGTGATAATTAAACAAAGCAAACAACTTCACAGAGTGCTTTTTTCCTAACTGTGGCAGTTTCATGAAAGAGCTGGTAATATTTTCCAGGATGAAATGTCTTTTTTGTTCCATTCTTCCTTTTTATATATAGGTCAAAATAGCTTAAGTCAGCCATCATTTAACAGAATTGTTAAAATTCTGTAATTTAAAGGCAAGGGAGAGGACTATTCTATTCCATGTTCATTTGGAATTTGCCTGAATACACAGTGCAGCTATGACCCATTCAGACATAGACCTCTTGTGAGAAGTAAATGCTACCTCTGTTTCCACCACGGCCCTTGGCACCTGTGCATTCAGAAACCTCAGGAGTGGACCTCCTGCGAGTGTTCTCTGGCAACTGTGTGAGGCATGGTTATCCCCAGGACATCCAGTTACCTTGCACTTGCAGGTTGTGCAGGGAGATCCAGCCATGGTCCATACTGAGCCGCTAAGCCTTGAAACGCCAGAGCTATCCAGGCAAGTTTTCCTGATGTCGTAGGTGATGCTATCAGCCAGGCAGGGGTCACTGACGCAGCGAGGACAACACTCCCCTTCCAAGGTGGCTGAGTACTCACAGCTCAAAGTGGGGCATGCGAGTGGCCAGCAATCTACCTCCCCTTCCTGTAGAGAGAAAGCCAAAAATGCCTCATCATTGTTCTTATGCAGTTCTGTTGCTAACTTCCCAGAGAAGGAAAGAGGCACAATAATTCTCATCATTGTTCTCACTGAATGTTCCCACTTTAGCACCATTATGGGTACAATGTGCCTCTTCCAGGGGACTTTTGATGACCATCTGTATTGCAGCCCCAGAAGAGTTAGGTCCCATGTCTGTGTCAATGGCAGCCTGTAATTATTTTGTATCATGTAATTATCATCATTATCAATACAATTCCACAGTAAGTGTTGAGCTTTCAGGTTGTGGGCTTAGCTCAGTTTTGGTCAAATAAATGCTAATCAGATAAATAAATTGATGGTAAGGTACTGGCTAGTGTGTAAAGAGAAATTCCTTTCTTTGAAGGTCAAAGGGAAACACGAAGCCCTGTAATATTTCAACCATGTTGTAAACTGAGTTGCTAGTTTCAAACTTAAAGTTAAGGTTGGGCAAATTCAGGTGAACCCTTTCACAATGGTTTTAAATGTGCCATGTAACTAGCGGACTTCCTGTATTACACTTCAAATGGAGTGTTCATACATCTCAGAATCTGGTCACTGGGGCTCCACTGGCCCATAGTAGAACCGTTTCTCTAGGTAGCTGCTGCTTCTGTTATCATGGCACTCATGTCTAATTATTTGGTCAGATTCACAAGGCTATGGCCTTTGATCAGCTTCATGATGGACCGTGCTCACCATCCAGAGTCTGGCACAGGCAAACACTTCAATGAATATTTCTTGAATCTGACCCACATTATTCTTCAGTAATTATTTGTTCAATAGCTTCAATTTTCCCCCTAAAATAGTAAACTTAGGGCTAGGGATGGTAGAGGAGACATTTCTGAAATTTTGCAAAAATTTCATGTCTAAAACTAGTACCAATTCTTCTGAATGCCTGATGATTGGCATCTTGAAAAGAAAATGGAATTTTCCAGACTGATTTGCAAGTTCGTTCTCTAGTTGTGTTGGGTTTGTTCCTGGATGCAAGTGTGAAAAAAATGGCTATGGTTTGAATTTAGCTGAGTTATACTCTTCAGTAGTAGGAATGATTAAGAAGGATGTGCTCTATTAAAATTATCTGTACATTCACCAGAAGATTTTAGACAACCCAATAGAAATTTGAAGCATAATTTCTTCAAATACTTGTTTCCATATAGTATCCATAGAGTGAATCAAATAATTAACTCTGGAACGCAGCTAATAGTTTCCATTAATTTTGACTTAGTTACGACTTAGCTCCAATGGTTATGTATGACTCCACACAGAGGAAACATCATTACTTAGATAATAAAGTATCCTAACAGTCTTTACATTCTTGGAAATCTTTGTTTATAGTATAATTTAAAACAGAAATTAAGCATTTTCTCTGGACTATCTCAAATCTGATTATACCATTATTATCCCTATATTAAAATCCAAATTAGCATTTTTTTCTACATGAAGGTTTAGCATCTGAAACACATTTTTTCAAAGTAGAAAATATGAACAATAGGAATTATTGTGCAGTAGGTACCTTCTATGTGCCAAATATTATATTTCCCCTTCACCTATTCTCTAATATTCATAACAGTCCTACAAAATAGGTAATGTTCATCCATTTTCGTACATTGACATTTGTAAGAATTGATTAGTGAAATGCTAACACTTGCCCAAGTTAATCACACAGAGCTAACACAAGGGAGCACCAGGGTTGGATTCTCAGCTTCATGACTCAATCCCTGACATTTATGTTCTCTCCCATATTGGAGCTTTAATGGGTATGTCCCAAGAAATGAAAGATTTGGCTCTATAAGAACGATAAGTCAAGGTTTTGAAACTTTTTATCAAAAAGGGATTTTTCATGATATGGATTTGCTAAAAAGTAGCAGTTGTGAGCTAACATAATAACTTGGGTCAAATGTGTCCCATAATTATGTTCTTTTTGTCTTGCACAGTGTTTTAAATAGTGGAATCTGAGTGTCTTCAGGCAGAGCACGTACTCCTTAGTTAGCAACAGAACCCACAACTCCCCGCGCAGGATTGCAAACAGCAGGAAACTAAAGCCCACGGGCCACCCTCAAGAGGAACAGGCTAACCCCCTCGGAAGGAAGCTGACATACCAAGCACCGGCACTGCTGGCAGCTGTGCGTCCAGCTGTCTCCACTTCGATAGAGCTTGTGTCCATTTTGATCTAAACATTGACTCGTGACCCTGGTGTCACACTCCGGGCAACAGAAAAGGTCAACGCTTGGATTCTGGCAATCACAAGCTGTCCGTCGGCAGAATATCTTCCCGTCCTGTTTAGAAATGAGGTTAAGGAGGTTTCATCATGAGGGCTGCAGGATGAAAATCAAACCTCAGGCTTTAGAGAGCTCATAGGAAACATTTCTTACAGTCACAGTACGCCCCTGGCTACCTCCTGATTTTCAAAACAGATGCACATGTGCGTCTCCCATACACATGCCCTTTTCTTTCCCTGACCTTGCCTGCAAAATGGCGCGAGTGAAAATGGAGACATTTGCAACTTTAAAAAAAAGGTCAGTATATTTTTTGAAACCTTTTTCTAAGTGTTCTGTAGTAATCATATTTCTAGAAGTATCATTTCTAAGAACAGTTAGGGAAAAAAAGAGTTTCAAAAAAAATAAACAGATAAGAATGCAAATATGAGCAAGAATTCATTTGAGTTCAACATCATGATATGGTACTTTTCCCAGTTCATAATGATACTGACTAACACTTTCAAATGCATTCACCTAATTTATCTCTGCCTCAACTCTGGGAGGAAATCTGACCATCCCCTTTTACAGGATAAGCAACTGAGACCCAGAGGGGTTAAATGTCATTCAGTATCACAGAGGTAGTGATTCTCTACGCAGCACCAGGTCTTCTGATTTCATAACAACCTGTCTTCTACAAGACAGTCTTTAGGTTATTGCCGGAGGCTATAATCGGGTGCCACCTTAACACAGTTAGGTCCCCAACTTATAAACACAGTAAAATTTCTGCAGTAATAGCTCTGAAATTATAAAGGTACTTTATAATGATACTTTTAAAGAACTGAGAGTCAACAGCGCTCAATTATTAAGACTGAACGATTTTCAGCATATCTCTTTTATGTCTGTTGTTCATAGTAACTTTTCACCTCATACAAGGAAGCAGAAAATGTAAGGTGAGACCTGTGGTCAACCATTTATGATTATAACTGCTTTGCTGGGTATTTATAAAACCATAGAGTCTCAGGGCCAAGGGTACCTTAAAGGACACATAATGAAACCTCTGACCTATACTTTAATCCTTCCTAAGGCAAAAATATTCAAAAGTCATCAAGCCTGTGCTTGAACCTCTCCAGTCTCCAGGAACTCACTGTTATGAAAGTCATTTAAAGTATATGTCTCTGTACATGTCCGAATGATAAAAATTGGACATTTTGTTGCCTGTAATCATTGATCCTTGTTCATAGCCTTGGTAATCATAGAACCACCAACCCATCTGTTACATTTCAACTCTTCTGTTTTTAAAAGAAAGCATTTATGCATCCACTGAATCATCTCATCTCTGGATTAAAGATCTCCAATGTTTTGACTAGTTCCCATAATTTTGAAATCTATTATAGTTGCCTTCTTCAACAATTTTGAGTATTTCCAATAATATTACTAATGTACCATAATTTCAACACTTATTTTGTACCACACATTGTGCTATCTTTTCAATGCATTATCACATTTAATCCTAATAATTATGTAGAGTAGAAATTTATATCTTCATTTGTCAAAAAAAAGTAGCTCAATTAGAGAACTAAAAAAAAATTCTTCAGTAATGATCTGACCAACACAGAGTGAAGTGGGATTCATGGTCATCTTATTTTAAGTGCTGTACTTTCTTACTTACTCTGGTTTGTCACAGTGTTGACTTATATTGAGCTTAATGAAGACTAAACCCCCATTAAGCCCTATCCTATCTTGCACAGTTGGTTGTTTGGAAGCAGAAAGTGTAAAACTTGATGTTTATCCATATTGTATTTCACCTTGTTAGATCCATTTCATCTCTGCTGCCTGTCACAATGATTTCTAAATGCTGTTTCTGTCATCCACCATATTTTGTCCTACTTCATCAATAACAATGTTGAATAAGACAGCACTTACTGATATAAGCTTACAGTCAACTAGAGTGGAAATCTTTAAATGCTTTACACTCTTTATGGAGAATGAAAAGGAAATATGCTAGCTACATATATAATAACTTAACAGGTTGAAAAATGCTTTCTCTCAAATTCTATGCACCGGATCTATTATATAAGAGATCATAAGAAATAGGGAGTGACGTCAGCATCACAGCAGAATGAGACTCCATTGTTCCTTCCCTTAAATTTACAATTTGGATAACTTTAACACAAACACACCTGAGAGATCTATGCCTCAGGGCATCTAAAGATGGGTGTATTGGGACATATGGAGGGCAGCGATGATGCCAACCATGGCTTCAGTGAGTGCAGTAGTGGGAGAGGAGTTGGCTACAGTCCTCACACTATGGTCTGGAGTGTAGAAAGGGCAGAAGCAGTTTCCATCTCCCTTCCTGTCCTCCTCATCATATAGGAACTGGGTAAACATGGCTGGGAAGCTTTAAACAAAAAGGTGGAGACAAAAGCCATAACCCAAAGAGGGTAGAGCCACTAGATCGTGAACCTGCCTCTTCTTCCCCAAAGGCCTTGGCAAAGCCAAAAACAGCTGCAAAAGAAGGTAGCTCTGGGAGCTAGCAAATCGGTTCTTCACCACCTGCCACATTCCCCCACCACAATGGTGGTGCCCCATAACTGAGTTGAGCTGGTCACAGACAGCACACAAACCATCAAGGTGAATATGAGGCACTCTTCTTAACCAAAGCAATGCAGCTACACCAAGATCCAAGAAACACAAAAATGTGTGCTATAATAACACCCACTAAAAACAAATAAAGCACTCTCCTTACCAACCTGCTGAATTATTGAGCAAACCAGTATTTACACAAGAAAAGAGAGCACTACCTCCAAATGAACTGACAGTGAAGCAATCCATCAAATACCAAGAACAACCAAGATTATATTGGAGTAATGTAAGAAAATAATAAAGTGTCTAGAAACCAAGCTCAGAGGCATGAGCTACTGTGGTTTAAATAACAGAGAACTCAAGATTGCAGCCACAAAGAAACTCAACGATATATGAGAAATGAAGGCTTTCCAGGTAAAAGAATTTGCCACCACAAGAACTCCATTACAAGATATGTTGAGAGGAGCTCTCTTACTAGAAACCAAAGACAAAATGATTGGAAACTGCAAATCTACTTCAAAATAAATTACTAAACAATTACAACATAAAGGTTAAAGTGGGAAAGAGCATTAAAAATGCTGTAACTACAGTAATTTGATAATTAATACACAACATAAAAAGGGATAATTTGTGAAAAAATCATCAAAGGGGTGGAGGAAAAGGACTGAGCAGGTACAGGTGAATGAAGATACACAGCAATTAGAAGAAAAAGAATTATTGTATGTATGAGACATTTTACACAAACATAATGGTAACAAAACAAAATTCCAGAGCTAAGACACAAAGCCCACAGAAAAAATGAGAGAAAAACCATCAAATTACAATAGAAGACAGAATCACTAGAGAGAGAAAAATGGAGATACAGAGCAACCAGAAAACAAAACAAAAGATAAAATAGCTGTAGTAAGTCCTCATATATCAACAATTATCCTAAATGTAAATAAACTAAGTTCATCAATCAAAAGGCACAGAACTAAGTTCATCTATCAAGAGGCACAGAGTAGCAAGATAGATTAAAAAAACAAGACCTAATTATGTCACCAACAGGACACTCATCTCAGCTCCAAAGACAAGCATAGGTTCAACAAAGTGAAGTCATGGAAGATACTTTAAGCAAATAGCCTCCAGAGAAAAGTGGGTGTGGGGTACTTAGACAAAGTAGATTTCAAGATACAAACAAAAAGTAACAAGAGAAAAAGATAGGCAGTTTATAATGATAAAGATGACAATTCATCTAGATGATATAACATCAATATATTTGCACCCAACTTGGGAGTACCACAATATATTAAAAAAATCACTAAAGAGAGAAAGTGAAAAAAAACACAATTATAGTAGAGGACCTGAATATCCCAATGACAGCAATGGATAGATCACCTAAAAGACAGTCATTAAGGAAATATTGATCTTACATGACATGTTAGACCAAATTGACTTAATCAATACTTTTGTTGTTGATGTTAATCCTCACCTGAGAATATTGTTTCCACTGATTTTTCTTTGGAAATGGTGGTTTGTTGTTGATGTTAATCCTCACCTGAGAATATTTTTTACACTGATTTTTCTTTGGAAATGGTGTAAGGGAAGGGAAAGATAGAGACATAGACTGGTGGCCTCCATTTAGATCAGGAACAAGACAAGATGCCCACTCTTTCCACTGTTATTTATCATAGTGCTGGAAGTCTTAGCTAGAACAATCAGGCCAGAGAAAGAAATGAAGGCATCCAAATTGGAAATGAAGAAGTAAAACTGTCACTTTTTGCAGAAGATGCAATTATAAATATAGAATATTAAAAACTATTAGAATCCAATAAGTAGCTAATATGCAAAATATATAAAGAACGCATACATTTCAACAATAAAATAAAACAACCTGATTAAAAAATAATTGTTTTATTTTGTTGTTGAGATGTATGAGTTCTTTATTATATATTTTCATTAACCAATGTCACTCTGTTAAATTTAAATTTTAAAAAAAGGAAAAAAATAAAAAATGAGCAAAGGACCTGAAGAGACAATTTTCTAAGGAGGGCATACAGATGGCCAACAAATATATGAAAAGATGCTCAACCTAATTAATTATAAGGGAAATGCAAATCAAAACCATAATGAGATATCACCTGTCAGAATGGCTATCTAATCTAATAAAAGACAAACATGCAAATTGACCATACCTTTGCTACACCTTAAGCCATGTCCACCAGCCAATTAGAGCGACTATATGCAAATTAACCCAACCAAGATGGC